CGCAGCGCGCGCTAAGGGAGGCGCAGGCCGAGCGCGTTCTGCGCCTGCCTGGCGGCGCTCACTCCTTCCCTCTTTGGTGTTCCTGTTGCAGTTTCCGAGGCAAGGCCTACAGCAGACGCAGCAGCAGCAGCAGACAGCTGCCCTGGTCAGACAGCTCCAGAAGCAGCTCTCCAGTAAGTATAATGTTGTGTGCGTGTATATATGTAAGTATATATACATACGACTATATATATTTATGTGTATGTGAATATGGACTTACCTTTCCGGACACTTTTTGCTTATTTAAATCCTGCCGTGGATGCGTGTACGTAATTTACCTACTGCGAGCAGGTGCCGCGTCGCGGTCGTGATGCTGCCCCGCGGTTCCGGTGCTGGCGCGCGCTGGGATTTCAGCCGCTCTCCGCCGGAGAGACCAGCTCCGCGGAGTCAGCTGCAGGGCGGCCGCCCCTTTCCTCCTCAGTGTTTTCTCCCCCCGGCCCTAGCGCGGGCGAAGGCCCCGAGGCGGTCGGCAGGTCTTGGGTGCGTTAGCAGGTACCTAGGGTACAGGCTGCTCCGAGGCTTCAGACTAGCGTTTGCTCCTGCTGCGTGAAATCCAGGCGTTTTTCTGTGTTCTTGTACAGTTCTGAGGCACAAACGCGCTTCCCTTTACTTTATCAATCAGGTAACCAGCCACAACAAGGAGTGAATCAGTACGGGCATCCTTCACACTTCTAAATCAAAAAGATGGAAACAAGACGTAGTGTTACGTTTGCACTGAAGAACAGAACATTCAAAATTCAATGCACTAGTTATTGCTAGAAAGCAAATTTTAATTTTCTTTTATTATTTCAGTAATTATTTTTTGTGCTGCAGTTGACGTGAATATGTAACGAGGTGGATTTTTTGGGTTTGGGGATTTTTTTTTTTGCATTTAACTAGATTAAAATGTATGGACTCGTGGGCCTGTTTGAAGAATGTTGTTGCAGATTTTATGAATTTGGTGCTTTTTAGGTCCTGTTACTTTTAAAGAGGACAAAGAATGCTGGATTTATTTATTTGTGGGAAACACTTTTTTTTTTTTTTTTTTTTAAATGAACCGCACTGGACCAAACTACTGAATTGAAGGCACTTCCGATTTTGGCATAAAAGTTGATTTGTTCATTAAAATGTTCAGCCCTTGATTTGATGGTAGAACAAGCATCAGTTTAAATCATGTTTATTTGACTGTAATTTTTCATATGCACTTTATAAAGTTCTCTGTTTAAAGTACCAATTTTCTCTTGCTCTCATTGTGGTAAGAAGGTGCTGAAGTGGGTTTCTTGCTTGTATTAGAATTTCTTAAAGTTTATATTAAAAGCCACAATGTAACATTAATAAACCTACTAGAAGTAGCAGTGTTTCATATTTGGTCGTCTTAATATAAATTTCATTGGCAATCAATTCTGGAAGAGTAAAAATATACTAACAAAGATTGAAGGGTCCAAATACGCTTTACTCTAACTTATCTAGGGCAGTCTCTAAGTCCCGGTGAAGTCTAGCAGGAGTCTCTTCACTGACATGGAGACAAATCTCTGTTCAGTAAAAAATCTCACACCGGGTTTCACAAAGTGCAGGTAGGAAAGCCACCAAATTGCATTCTGCAGTTTCAGCTCTGCTGTAGCTGAGCCTTGTGTACCGTGAAGTTGTCCTAAATGAGTTGTTCTTGGCATGTTTGTTTACTACTACTTTTTATGGTCAATATTTAAAATTCTGGGTTTGATTTTTGATTATCGGGTGAGTTTCAGTGGTACAACGCATTGTGTGTTACCAACTGGGTGCAAAAGCACAACTAAATTATAAATCAAAATTTCTATAAACAAACAGACCTGTACAAATATGTGGTGATTTTGCTCATATTAGAGCTAAACAGAGTAAGTTTGTTACTGTTTTATGTAATTTAAGAGTTAGTCTGTAGGATTTTTTAAAAAATACATTCATTTTGAATGTGGAACATGCAGGGCATTAAAAATATACACGTAGGAACATTTGTTTCCCTGTTCCATATTAACTCAATTTGATTAATTTACCATACAGAGAACTTAGACGTGGTATCGTAATCGCACGTTCTGTGGGGAGGGAGGAAGCCGGCCCCGTGCACGCGTCGGGGACTGCGAGAGGTAGTACAGCGAGCTAATAAAATAATACCCACTATGCAGCTGTCTCAGGAATTTGTACAAATCCCACGTTGCAAGACCAACGCAAGCAACCTCAGCAAAAGATGCTTCAGTATCTTTGAACTACTTTGTATACTGAAGATAGCTGTAAAATTCTTATCTTGTCTTTATCAAAACACAGAAGCCGCTGAGTCTACGAAATTAGTAACCGTCTGTTTCAAAATGTGAAAGTGTCTGCTGAAAGTTGCTGGGTTTGGCCTGTTAAATGACCGTTCTGTCTTAAACGAGACTGCCCAAAGGAAAACAGACTGAGCGTTAGTTTCTCTCCTGTTACAACCATGCAACGCAGTGACTAGAGAAGGGCTGCATCGTTTCCCCGGGGGGGGGCAAGGCTGCAAGTTGCATATCCCGTTAAGAGCATACATGTATGTTTACGAGTGGAAAACGTCAGATGTGTATGATACTCTTCCACGTGGAAGACTTAAATCTTAAAAATGCCTGCTTGCTTCTGGTAGTCTCAGAGGACGTCGCCAGTGAAAGTTAAAGCTGCAAGCGTCGTTCAAACCTCCAGAAAATCTGGAGTGTTGGTTTTGCATAAATCCAGCTTAATCAGCAAGAATCAGGTCTGCACAGAAGCTCTAAAAATAAAATCATGATAATGTTTGCTTCATGCTTTTCTGAATAGACCAGGAAGTAGTTCATGCAAATTATGATTTTTGTATTTTTACAATAACAGGAAATTGGAGTCATTCCAGTTGTAGGCTGTTCTATCTGCCTGTTGTGATCACACTCAAGAAGACTTACTAGTGCTTAAATTCCTTAGATTTTGATTGGCTTTTAGAATAGTCAGATAAGATTTATTTTCTTTGCATAAAATTATTTCTGTTCAGTTGTTTAAGGGATTTACTTATCCTCTAGGTCAAAGCCCTTTACTGATCTTCATAAATAGATAAAGCTATCACAGAGATCAACCAGTGTGATTAATCTGATCTAGCCAGTTTTTTTGCTGCTACTCCGTCTGCACTGTGGAAGGGAGAAACAAGCACACAGCTAACTGCATGTGCTTCACATCAGGAAGTCATCGAACCTACATACAAACAGTCCAAGCTGAGGGTATGACCTTAACAAAACAAAACAAAACAAAAAACCCTCACAAGTTGATCGTAATGTAGTTAAATGAGGTAAAATCTGCGTTTAGCTCTTAGCGCTTGAATACTTTCCCACGAGTAAGTAAGTCTTGCGTGCTCATCGACCCCCGGTGGGACGGGTTACTGCAACAGGTTCAAGGCCTGCTGTTACATTAGCTCGGAGGGCTCTTACTGCGAGCCCTTCTTACAAGCAATAGATCTTGTAGATCCCCAAATGACATGTTACAGGCCTCGGGTTTTTTATTGTTTTAATTTATGTCAAGTGCTGGAATTGTTTATGGCGCAGGGGGTGACCACGCTGTATCGATCCTTCTTCTTTTATCCAGCCAGCTCTCTGTAATGGATAAAGGGACTGACTGCTTTCCTCAAAGAGCCCTTGCTTCAGCTCTGCTGAGGCGTCCCCGTACAGCAGACTGCTGGATAGCTGGGACAGTAAGGAAGAACACGGCTGCTTCCACGAGAGCCCTGTGCCCCACGCCTCTGCATTTAGCAGGAAAGGCTGCATGTATTTGACCCTGCTGTCCTGACATTAATCTCTCTCTTAGGAAGAAAGTAAGGAACTCCAGTTTTACTTCTGTCTTAATTGCTTAAAGATTTATTTGACCAGTCTAATCCATGATTTGTTAGTGTAAAATATGTAGGTAGACGTCTCCTACTGTTACAGGCACGTTTTATGCATAAACAGAAGGATGCTTCTTAGACCCTCCCACTGAATTGAGCATCCAGTATTCTAAATTTGTATGCAAATGATGCAGTTATTTTCTAGTGAGAAGTCTTTAAAAGCTGACTGTGTGACAATAGGAAAATTATACCAACCTAGACTGTTTCCGCATGCGGTCGGTGTATTCTTTACTTCTTTCAAAGTGTTAATCAGAGCTGTCTCTCTTAAAAATGAGAACAAAATCATTTTGTGTGTAGCCTCCCAAAGCTCTGCAAAAGGGACTCAGCGTGAAACAATGCTGTGTCGTTAAAAATACTTCACTACTACTTTCCAATGGAATATTTATTTTAAAAAATCCTGCTAAATACTCAAATGTATCAGGAAGGTAATCACATCACAATCAAATCTGCTCTTTGGTTCTTAAATACTCTTGCATTACATGCTCCGTGCTCATCACAGTCATACATGGTGGACAATATTACACTAACATGAAAAAGTCTGTCCTTCATGGAAGATCTCTAAGTATGTTTCTGGAAGGTAGTTTTATTATTCACTGTTTGCTGGCAGAGCAAAAGTGCCTGAAGTTAGTTGCTATTTAAGTCCATTTAATCACAGAAATCAATGCTAGTTAATAATGCTAAACTTTTTTTTCTCCCTACGCTCCTGTTTCTTTCTTTTTTGCAAGGTCATTGCAGACTGAGTACTGTAAATGTATTTAGGTTAATTTATATGTCCGGGGCTGCCTTTGATTAAACTTACTCCAAAACCAAACTCAATCCAGCTGTAGACTTTGTTAACAACCATTCATATTGTATTTCTTATTTCAAATGACTTGAATATATGTTACTGTGAAATCACTGCCAAGATGATTCTTAGCCGTGCACTTGTAGATGCCAGAATCCGAAGGCTGGGGATTCTGGATGACTAACGTCCCTTGGGGATGAAGGAGTTCGCTTCCAGATGGTCGGCCTCGGTTACCTGCGGAGAGTAGTGAGTGGTCAGGTAACTCCCATGTAATTTCTGGCGTTGGTACTCCCAGTGCTATGCAGTTGAGCTGAAGTGCTGTACCAGGCACTGTGCGAATGCTCTGTGGCGGCCTGTTTGTAATCCTTGGGGGGTAGGCTACGATAATTACAGGAACAGTTACAGATGACTCCCCAGCGTTGTTATGAGCCTTACACACGTAACTTCCTCTGTCATGAATGGTAGCTTCTCGTATAACTAAAGTACCATTTTCGAGCAGTATATATTTCCTGTTGATCTGAGGTCGATCTAGCACATAGCCACTTGGTACAGTCCATGCTGTATTTGGTTTGGGATTCCCTTCAGACAGACAGTGAAGTGATAGTGACTCCCCACTAATGCCCTTCACCGGTCCTTTTGGATGAATGAGAATATTGGGCTTTTGGCCAACTTCCAAGATGATCAGCTTTTCAATATAGCCAACTTTATTCCTAGCAGCACAGCGGTACTTTCCTGCGTCATCTCCAGCAGTATTGTAGATGGTAAGGGTACCGTTGCTTCCTGTAAGAAACTGAGAAGTCTTGATCCCCCTGGAAAACCATGTGCCGTTAGGCAACATCCACATTATTTCAGGTGGAGGATTTCCGTCCACGGAACAATTCAATATGGTAGTTTTTCCAGGTTTTGCTATTACTTTTTCGTTAAATGGATTTTTAAACATTGGTCGCCTTAGCATTTCTAATACCTCCAACTGCACCACTAACATGCTCTCTCCCCCGTCATTACGTGCCACACAGATAAAATCTGCTGTGTCAGAAGGCCTTAGGTTCCGAATTTCAAGTGTCCCATTTTTGTGCACTGTAATCCTGCTCCCATAATATGGAGCTGTTAGGAAAATATTATCGGGCATGATCCACATAATCTGAGGGGGCGGTGTCCCTTCTGCCCTACATTCAATTTGCTTCTTTGAATGCCTCACTGCCCTCACTTTAATGATTGTTTTGTTCGTGTACAAACCATTTATGATAGGTGGCTTAGAAACAACTTCCAGTTTATACAGTTTTGTATCATCCCCTCCAGGATTACGAGCGACACACATGTACTCCCCGGCATCTAACAGTTTGACTCGACTGACTGATAGAGAACCATTAACATGCAGGAGATACCTGTCTGTTGAAAAGGAGATCATGTCACTGGAAGGTAGTAGCCAGAATATTTTTGGCTTGGGTTCTCCAATGACTTCACAATCTAATAATGCCATATCTCCAGCTTTCACTTTAACGTATGCCTTGTGGCTATGCTTTATTTGAGGGGCAGTTGTTACGACTGTGATGTGTATCTTCATTTCATCTCTTCCCAGGGTGTTTTGAGCGTAGCAGGTATAATCCCCTTCTTCCATTATTCCTACTTTGTTCAAATACAGGGTTCCATTGTCAAAGAGGACATATCTCCGAGACCTGCGTCCACCGTCATCTGCCTGCATCACGTTATTGATTGTTGTGCCATCTGGCAAACTCCAGGATATCTCTGGTGCAGGTGACCCAGAGGCCTTGCAGTCCACTTTGAAATCCTTTCCATATGGTACTATTTTTTTAAAATACTGTTTCTGGTCAATCTTGGCTGGTTTCATTGTGATGCTGACTTTCATCAGTATCAGATCATCTCCAATTTTGTTTCTTGCAACACATAAATAGTCACCTGCGTCCTTCTCAGTAACTGCCTCGATAACCAAGGATCCATTGGGATATACATGGATTCGACTTCCCATTCTGTTGAGAGGGGAGAAGGAGAAAAAGTATTATTAGGAACCAACATGCTAAAGATGAATAGTCAGCCTTCTAAGTGATTCGTAGTATTAGCGCCATTTGTTGAATATGGTGTGGAATGTTTTACTAGATTTCCTAATTTAAACGTCCGTTTTGTCAGTTTGAAATATACTGTGATATACTGTATAAAATACACAGACTAGTTTAAGCTATTTTTCGAAGGTGCTATTTTGATATGTCTTCCTAGCCTTCCTTCCTTTACTGAAAAAAAGCCTTTCCCAAAAGATTAGAAAATAAATGCTAGTGTGCAAGCCATTGGATTTGGGTGGTAGCAGTGCAAGAAAGATCCACATGAAAGGATTAGATCTTTCCAGTCTCACAAAATGCGTACACAGAGATTTAAATGATATGCACAAGATTTCTTTACAGCCTTGCTAATGTATCTGTGCTTTCTCGACTTCACCTCTCTTTCTGCCACTGCTCTATGTTCAACATGAGCCAGCAGAGCAACAGAGACTGAAAACACAAATTGGGATCAGTAGGACTTGCTGTTGTTTTCCTTGCTACAATTTCAGCCAGAAGAGCGCTTGCGTAGGAGCCATGGTGAGCTCGTTAGCGATATTGTTTGGCATACTGCTATCAGCTACTAGGGCATCAATATTACAAAGGTGTACAGGATCCTAACGGAGCCAGATTCTGATCCTTCAGGGCCTCTCTGAAGCTCATGCTTTTTGGACTGGTATAATTCTACTCGACTGCGCATCAAGGTAAAAGAGCAGAAGCAGGCTGAGGGAAAAATTCCTTTATCTTCCTCTGTTGTTTTATGTTTTGAGGACTTAAGTTTGAACAACTGTGATAATTTGATGCCTTGTATCGTACAGCATAGTACGATACAAAAGTTCTCTCCGAAGAAACTGTGTCCACGTTACCCATGTACCCGGTGGGTTATAACCTGATGTAGTTGCCACTTTTGTTATTGATTTAGATGTGCGTGTGTTCGCTGAAGTCTACAATGGTGCGCATAGCTGCACAACGCAGTTTCTGCCTTGCAGAAAACCATTTTGTGAACAAATGAGCTTGTTTATTCTTACGTCCCGTGTCCTGCCAACCTCTGCTCCTCTCCCTCATCCTTCTCAGCAATCCCCGCGCCCCGTGCAGCTGGCAGTAGTGCTGCGTGTTGTCGAGAATGACACTTAGCAGCCACGTGATTACTGTTTGGCTGCCTTTCCCTCAGCAGCGCGTTGGCTTGGATCTCCCTCCTCAATCCACCTGCAAACTTTCATGAAAGTGGACTGTCGTGGACGTTGTCGTGGCCTGCCCCTTTCAAAGCGAAGGTGACGTGTTCCTGGGGGACAGGGTGCGGGGGAGACCCTCGGAGGTGGGATTGGCAGTGACGTTACAGCAGTCTCCTCCTCCCGAATCCTGCTTTACAAATCTCTTGTAAATAGCTTGTCTTATTTTTCGTAGTGTCTATCCTACAGCTTCCAGTGCTATAAAGGCAATCTTTTTCACAATGGATAAGCTGTTATCTAATATTAAACCCTTCATTTCCACAAATGGAAATCTAAATGGTTAATTGTTACAGATTTAAATATACTCATGTTGCCAGCTACAGTACTTAGAACCATCTGCCTCTTAAAATGAAAGCTCTAGCACTACAGTCACAGTCTACAGTTTTCATACGTTAGATTAGTTTGTTTCAACAAATAAGGAATAATTATCGTGCACCAAATTTATGGTAAAAGTGTACTGAATGTTGCTATATTTTCTGTCATCAATTACACTGAATTATGTTAAATTGTTTTAGAAGTTGTGGTATGGAAAAGTCTTAGCACTGTTCAGAAGTGCTCTATTAAATCCTCTGTATTAATGTCGATATTTAATAAAGTGTAAACTATGTTCTAGCATGAATTAAAAATTGTGACCTAAGTCACAACAGAATAAAATGACTGGAATTCAGCCATTGCGTAGTTTACTTAAGCTTCATTAGTTCAAATGAGAGTTACACCCATTTTGGTAAGACCTCACTCACTAATGACAGAAAGGATGTGGTCTGTTATTAGAAATGCAATAATAATCCATCACTACAGATGTTTTACTACTGTTAGAAGTTTAACAGTGAATTTAGTTCAGCATTATTGTTTCAGTCATGCAGTTGTCTCTCATATGAGTACTGAAGAAGACAGTGCTTGAAGTTTCAAAGGGCTGGAAGAAATAAAGAAAAAAAAAAAGACTCCTACCTGTGCCACTGGTCAACAACTGCCTTGGAAGGTAACCGCCACATTATCCTGGGCTTTGGCTCCCCAGTAGCCGTGCAGTTCAGAAGCAACTTATCCCCAAAATTCAACTGAGTCATTTTTTGAGAGGCGTTAGCTATCTTTGGAAGCGTATCTCTCCGTTCCACCGCAAGATGTACCACCCTCCTCTCTGAGCCAGTGGAGCTTGTAGCTATGCACTCGTAATTCCCGCTGTCGGAAGGAGCAATGTTTCTCATGTGGAGCGTTCCATTGGAAAACAGGAAGAATTTCCCATTCACAAACTGCAAAGGTTTCACTACTGTCCCGTCGAAGAGGACCCAGTGAATGCTGGGATGAGGGTTTCCTTTTGCAGTGCAAGGAAGTTTCAGATTTTCCCCCATCATCCCTTCAACGTGTTGTCTCTTTTCTTCCAGAATGAAGGGAGGTGCTGCAACGACTTGCAGTTTGACGACGAGTGTATCGGTGCCAGCTGGATTATTAGCCATGCATGTGTAAAGGCCCCTGTCATAAACATTGACTTCCCTGATAATTAAAGTGCCGTCTGGTTGCACAGAAACTCTTTTATGTCCTGTGGAAGAATCTGAGACGTATGTTTTATTTGCCAGGATCCACGAAAAGGTGGGAGCAGGCCTAGCCTCAGCTTTGCACGTCACTGCCACAGGCTCTCCGGAATGGGCGGTGATGACCCGGGATCTCCCCTCTACGATCCGCGGCGGATAGGCCACCACCGACAAAGTGACCAGGAGCCGTGCTGAGCCGTGCCGGTTGGCTGCAACGCACAGGTACTGTCCACCGTCCTGGACACGCACCTCCACAATGGAGAGGGTACCATTGGCGAAGACTTCAAACCTCTGGTCACGTGTGCTTTTTGACGCATCAGGCTCTAACGAAGCAACAGGGAGCAACGTTATATCATACAAAAGCACCTCTGCTCTGCTTCTTCTTCATTAGGATTTGAATATGCTTTCCTTATCCTAGCCTATTTTGCTCAAATAACTAAGACAGTAGTGAGAGAAAAGAAAGAGATAAGTATTTTACATATGCAGTGAAAAAAGCTTTAAACTAAAAAATAAAAGCTGGTTCCTCAGTAGAGACAAAATTTGGATAAAACAGAATAGGCTTTGCATATTCGAAAATATTCTGGCATAGTTTGTAACTATGGTTTCTTGCACAGTGGTTCCCCCCTGCCCAGCACACACTTGTCTCACTATTCTGAAATGGCAGGTAACGTAAAATAAATATTGAAATCTTCTCACAGTAAACGCAGTATTATTGTTAAATATAGATTAATTGCTCCTCACATTTCCCTAAGGAACTGTTTCATAATTGGTATTAAAACACTCCAGACAGTGTGCTGGGCTGTCATTGTTTTTCACTACTTCCAGGTTTGTCCTATCACTGATGCTTCCCAGCACTCCTAAATGAAGCAGTGCGTGCACCACCTGCCAAATTAGAAGACTGTAATAGAAGGTAAATTTTAAAGAGGGGTTATCGAGCTTACCTGATGATATCTTGGTCCATTGTATTGTTGGAAGGGGGTTACCAGTAGCTTCACAAGGAATGAAAGCATCTGAATTAGCTAGCACAGTAAAAGCAGCTAATTTTCCGCCTATTATTCTAGGCTTTGCAAAGTGACTTCTGTATAAGGAGTCCAAGGTTATAGGACTGTTGGTGGTAGTTTCTTGATCATGTCTGTTTTCAGACCAGCCTTTGACAGAGTTGTCCTTGTCCCTTCCCCACATAGGAGCATATGGAGTAGAGCTCTGTGATGACTTCAATATGGTCAGTGTATTGACAGTTAGTGTTGTGCCTCTTTCTGTAACTTTGGTAGATGGCTTATGCCAGAACTTGTTTTCCCACCATGGAGGCGAATTGGTTCTCACAATAGCTGCAGGTGGCACGCCTGTTGTCAGGGCTGGCAGCGAGGTTGGAGGCTGAATCCTGGCAGAAACGAAGTGCGTGGTTATAGCCGGAGTTCCGGTGCTTAGCTCAGCTCTTCCTGGGAACACGGACCGTGCAACGTAATCTTGCGGGATAGCTTTCTCTTCCATTTTGGGGTGTGATTTTTCACCTGCCGCTGTGGTGGCTTTGATTTGCTGAGCAGGTTCTGATCTAGACATTACAAACGCCGTGGCGGGTCGCGTGCTTGTGGCAGGGAAAGGCTTGGAAAACAGTGGTGTGGTCTGGATTGCAGCGGTGGGGTTCTGGGCAATGTGACCATCGGGTGGTAACTGAATTGACTGGATGCTCTTGTGTGGACTAGGCGTCACTGATGTCTGTCTGGTTGTTGAAGGCATGCGATGAGGTACCTCTGCGCTAAGGGAAAGTGCTGTCGTTTCTGTAACTGAGATTGTGCTTGTGTTCTCGGAGAGAGATTTTGTGGTCCTAAGACTTGTAGGCGTAGTTAGTGATTTAACTGTTGTCAAGACAGGCATGGCTGCATTCACTGATGAAATCACTGTAGTGCTGTGGCCTGTAGTCGTGCTTTGTGAGGTAGCTGTTTTATGGGGCCTCTTCCTCCTCTGACCTCTTTTTCTTCCCGTTCTCAGTGTTCTACTCTTAGTGATTTTGGTGTCAGTTTGAGGAGTAATAATAGATACAACTGTCGGCTTCAAACTTGTTACATCAGTTTCTTTGGTTGCAATAGTTGCAGGATTAGAGTAAGAATGCAGTTCTGCAACGGGAGAAAGTTTTTCTGACATACCACTGTCATGATGAACGTGCTTGTTTAGAGACGACAAACCAGCACTGTGATTCTCCCTGGTTGAAATAGGTGTGAAGTGCAAAGGAGGCACTTCGGACATAGATAATGCTGTTGTAGTTTTAGGATGCGCGGTTGATATCGCTGATGATGGAAACATCTCTGTATGTTTTTTCGGCAGCTTCTTCAATACCTCCTTTTCTGTGTTATTCCCAAAGACGTGGTCCCAAGTAATTTTTCCTATTTGGGAATTTTTTGATGAGGTTCCAGACTTAGTGTTGGGTGAGACAGATTCAAGAGTAGATGATATCTTGGGGCTTACAGTATGTGTAACTTCTGTAGCAACCCAAGGTTTGTGGATTGCTGCTGCTGGAAGTCTCATACTAAAAGGTTGGAGCCTATCAGTATTTGATTGAAATGAAGCACTGGTCTCCGATTTCCACGGAGGATCATCTCGTGTGCCTTCTGTGATGAAAGGCATGATTGTAGAAGTAGCTTGTTGTCTTGCAGTAGGGTCATTTTCCTCTTCCATGAGGAATGCTGTGTTTTCATGAATACCTTTTGGGTGCTCTAATGGCATATTTTTGGTAAAGGCAGGGGACAGAGGTGCTTCTGGGCTAAATGGGTTGAGGGAACTGCTTGCATTATTTAAGGTGAGTGAGTCTGAGATGTATTTTGTAATCAGTTGGATACCTGGAACTGTAGCTGTTCTTCCTCTGAAAGAGCCTGGTCTCCCCAAATTGTATCTGTGCTCTTTCATACTTGGAATTCGGTCTGGTCTGACAATTCGTCTCCTACCAGAAATTTTCCTTCGTCTTCCACGTTGCTGCTGATCCTGGGGTGTATGAGCTGTAACATCCCGAATAAGCTGAATCTGCCGATGAGTAATGTTAGTTGAACCCGAGGGTAGCTTAGGAGTTACTAATTTCTGAGTACTATGAAAAGAAACGTAACCTAATTCAGGACTTGGTTCACTGACTGTCACTGCAGATACCTGATGATCTGTTTTGTTTGAAGTCTTATCAATGGACTCGGTAAAAACATGTAGCTTTTCTGCTGGTTTTTGGGAAGTTATGTGCGTGCTGGCGTCTGTAACACTCGTCATGGGTGTCATAGATGCAGATTTTAAATCTTGACTGTTATTTTCCTCAGAAGTTACCAATCTGTGCCTAGCATCAAAGACTGCAGATGTTCTACTTGCTCCATTTGCTACAGTTGATTGTTCTATACCATTTGCTGATATCTGACTTTCCCATGATTTAGGGTTTGTGATTGTAGGTTTTACATACGTTTGGGGCCTTCTGCTGTCAGGTGAGACAGATGGTGAAAACGGAGAAGCTTGTGGAGTTATTGCCTCTGTAAGCAAGACAGAAGTTTTCCTAGTAAGAGTGTTACTTGTGGTAATCTCAAGTTCTGCACTTGTCATGTTTTCCATTACTTTCCCCAGAGGAGACAGAGTGGGTGTCTTAGTTGCCAGTAACGCAGATTCTAGTTCTGGAGAAGTAGGATCACCAGATGTTTCTTCCTCATCCTCAGATACTTTTGAGGACTTACAGACTTGAACAGGTGGGTTTGTTGCAACTCTTCCTTGTCTTTCTATCAGTGTCGAGTTCCTCTTTGTTTTTTCCAAAAAGGCTGCCCAGCGCTGTGGATCGACCCTCCTGGCTGAGGAAACAAACTGTCTTCTGTGTCCTCTAAACCTCCTGCTTATTTTGTCCCTGTGGCGCCAGTAAGTCATTTTTCCATAGCTGTTCCTTTTGTTTGCACTCTGTACGGTTTGCTTTCTAGATGCTGAGGCAGCAGATTCCTGATTAGCTGTCAGGGTAGCCAGAGAAGCTAAAGAATTTTTATGGCTCGTAACAGAGGCAAGCATTATGTTGCCAGAGCCCTCTCCCTCTTCCCATTCTCCCACAGCTACATGCTTTTTCTGTGGCTCTGCTTCCTCCATTTTAACTAGCACTTGAAATACCAAAAGATCAACACCGTACGGGTTGGCTGCAACGCATCTAAAGTAGCCGCTGTCTTGCTCTGTCACCCCTTGAATTTTCAAGGTACCGTTGTCAAAAATATGTTTGTTTCTTACAGAATGATGAAGAATCACATGCTCAGGTAACACCCAACTAATGGAAGCGTCTGGAACAGCAGTGGATGGACATGGAAGGTAGAGGACGCTACCAATAAATGTAGAAAGTCGAGCTCCGTTTACATGACTGTATTCCACATAAGGATCAACCACAGTAATTCTAAATGTGAGGGTATCTGCATCATCATAATTTGTGCCTATGCAATGATAAAGTCCAGTGTCAAAAGTATCCGCTGTCCGTAACGTAAATGTTCCGGTTTTAACTACTACGATTCTTCCATCTTCACTGATGTAAGGAGCTCTAACTTTGCTCCCATCAGCCAATATCCACTCTATTGCAGGAGTTGGTTCTCCAATTGCTCGGCAATCTAGCTCCACTGTCCCCCCAGTTAAAACAGTGTGTTCTGTTTGTGTTTTGTTGTCCCTGGAGATTATTGCCCAGTTATTTCTCGCATGTGTTTTGTCAGCGCTGGGCAAAATAATCTGAGCATCAGTAAAGTATTGGATGTGCAATGTGTTAAGTGTGGTTGCTGTCCTGTCTAGCTGTAATGCCACTTTGTTTTGCATTAACCAAGATGGTTTGGCTCTCAGTTCGGTTTCTATATTGGTAAATAGTTCATTCTTTTCGGAGTAGATCTGTTTGTATTTGTAACTAATAAAAGGCATTTTAGTTGGTAGGATATTCCTTTCTAGTTCGAGGGGAGAATTACTGTACAGGGCCAATATGCTCCATAGCTGCTGAATATGTTCATAATCAATGCCACACACAAGAAATGCTGAAAATGATATTTTGAGTACTGTACTGTTGCCATCTTTGTCAAATGAGATGGGAGACGTTTCTTTAGGTTTCTGGATGTTGCAAACCAAGTTACCTTGACTTCCCGCTTGGTCAGTCATGTTCAAAACCATGGATCCTATAGGCGCTATAAAGTCCTTGGGAGACACGGAACTGAAATCCCCATCATCTGGCACTGTGATGTTTTTCAGTTTCAGGGAGTGATGTATGGCTGGCTTAGTGCAGGTTAAGGATGCAGGTGGAATATCCACTAAGTTTTTCCCTTTACAATTTTTGGGGTTAGCACAAGCTGGGCATTGGTGAGCACCAGAAGAGCTTCTGTCTTTTTTGCACTTTATAACATCTAAAGAGAGGAAAAATGTAGTTAGCTTTTGTGACATTTTTTGCATGAAAACAGCCATATAGTTATCAACAAGTTGTCGTCTTGAATAAAATATTTACAAAGTTTATCCTAAAGTGCTCACCAACTTTTTAAAAGTTTCATTAGTGAAAACTCAGGTATAATGACCATTGCTATTACAGCACAGTACAGTGCTCTTCTTTGACAGCTTTGGTGGTTTTACACAGCGCAAGGAAGGCTCTGTTGTACATGGTCATAGCTTTGTCTTGAGAGATAAAGGCTCTAGGAGGAGTTCTGGGGTAACACTAGACAATTGTGTGCAACCTCGACTCAGGGCAGTAACAAAAAGTCCTCGAGTCCTGTTCCTCATTTCTTTTTCAAAGCATCAAGTACAATGTGGCTTTCACTCCTGCCAGTTATGTAAAAATTAACTTCCTTATGTGAATGAAGGAACAAAAAAAGGAAAAACAAGGTTGTAGAACATTGTATGTTCTACACAACATATAATGATGCAAAACTGCAAATAAGCCAGCTCTGGAATCAAGACACAGCTGTCTGAACAGAATGACTCTGTGCCAAGTAGTGCAGCCAATCAGCCAGGCTACACGCCATGCTAATGAGCCTATACTGCTTCTAAAAGCCAAGACAGCGTTTTTTCTGTATTTCACTGAACAACTCCAAATAGCCATACATACCAGCTCATGCACAGCTAGCTGGACTGTCTGCATTTTTCTAGAAATAGAATGCAGTTCTTTTGGCACACTTCATTCTCTTTTATCCATAAGACGATCCTTCCCTCCAATCTCACTCATCCTTTCCAAAAAAATAGTCCTCCAGATGTCTTTCAGTTCTTTGATAATATCTACTGATTTGAAGTTATTATGAAAACAAATATTAGAAGCGTATGTGAAGAAAGCAGCTTATTTCTTGTGACGCGTTGTTCCTCAAACTGCAGCTCCAGGACAAATTATACTCTAACAATATAATAAAACTAGAAAAGGACTTGTTCCAGAGATCAAATTGTCAACTGTAGAGAAAATAACATGTGATGTATCCTTCCATCTTCTCACATACAGTATATCTTAGTCTAAATGTAGAGGGTACTATTTACAGAAGGTGAATAGAATGCACTCTCCTGGTGCACAGAAACTTTGGGCTGGCCAAAGAAAAAGGTCCATTAGGGAAAGCTGCACTTGGAAGTGCATTAACACCACTAGATTAATTAAATCCAGGAAACTGAATGTTATTCATTTGTTTGTCTTGATTACATACACATACAATAATCCTGTTAACCAACAATCCTGGAAAAGATAGCTATAAGAGTTTAAAGGAATAAATTTTTCCTGCATGTGCATTGCACGTTATGAGTAAACAGAAGGATAAAGAATAACATTTCAAGTAGAGTAAAAAAAAAAGAAGTCACAAAAGTGCAACAGAAAAATGTCACAAATCATGCAGCTTTGCAGTAATGATCTGCAATAAGTCAATTAATTGTTGACAGGCTATAAAGAGCGAGATGTTTCATGTTTCTTCTTATGCTTCACACCTGGTACCTCAATTTTAATTTGCAGTGGTTTTCAAGTGATACGGTCCATGTGATGAATCAAAGAACAAGTAAAAACAACTCAAGAAGAACAAAGAACTCAAGACTGATATATAGGTGGTGTGAATAGGTCACATATCAACACAAAGACAATTAGAAATAAATCAGATGTAGTTGTTTCCGTTCTTTTCTGGGAGCAAAAGGACATATATCATAAAGTATATATCATAAAGTATAAGAAGCTGTCACATGATTAAGAAGCATAAACAAAGTCTTCAGCTCACCTGGTCTCTCTTTTGCCCATTCTGCAAACCACTGTAGACTGCAGTCACAGGACCAAGGGTTTCCATGGAGGTAAATGCTCTCTAGCTCAGACATGTGGGAAAACATTTCTTGTGGTAGTGAAGTCAACAAATTGTCAGACAAATATATATGCTTTATGGAGGATATTTTAAATATTTCAAAATAGCGCAAGGTGACAAAAGTGTCGGGATGAAGCTGCTTAAGTAAATTTCCTTCCAAATGGACTAACCTCAGTGATGTGAGTCCATAGAAAACGTTGGGATTTACAAATTCGATTCTATTGTGGTCCATATGCAACCGTACCAAGCTCTTTAGACCATAAAAAACACCCTGCTGAAGTACTCTGACTTTGTTATAACTCATTTTTAGGACCTGTTGATGGAAAAAGTAACAAATATATAATATTAAGCCATGTTACATTGTTATAAGACTCTCAACAAATTCTCTTTGATGGTAACTCCATGAAGTGAAAGTACTTTGACAGAGCAGTAATGGAAGTGGTTGGAAAAAACTCCTAGTAGGAGGAATTATTTTTAAATGCAGCGTTAGTTGCAGTGACTACAAGGATACTTTCTTGTTCCAGCTATCCATCAAAGTGATACTTGTGCAGTCACATTTACAAAATGCAACAGTTAAAAAACAGGGGTGGGGGGAGAAGAACTCCTAAAAAACCAATGCTTGCTCAGTTCGGTCATTCAAAAAAAAATCCTAATGAAGCCACATTTGTGAAAAGGGTAAGCCATAAACTGTGTTAAGTGTTTTTTGTTCCAGGCAACATGACAACTATAAAAAGGCAAAAGAGAGTCTATTTTGATGTTTAACAAGTAGAACTGTTAAGTTGTTCCTAGCTTAAGGATTTTTATCATATGAGATGGTGTACTTGCCAGACCTCAACTCTCAGTTGCCATTTTGTTGCTGACAGGTGAAAAGTCAAACTGCATAACTGTAAGATGAACAAATCTTGTATATTGCTGAAATACTAAATACAGTACAGGAGATCTCCTTTTGGTTGTTACTCTGCCTGTTAGAATCCTATTGCTACAATTATGAATTCTGTATTTTGAAAATTAGCGGGGGGGAAAAGTACAAAACCCCAATAATGTGCAAGTGCATGTTATTTGCCAAATATAATTCCACTAAAACTATTTATAATTTTGTATAACCATCTTTCTTGTTGATAAGCAAGGAAAGGTTTATAGGAATGGGGATATGTTTTATTAAGCCAGCTGCGAGGAGTTAACAAGGAAGCTTTCAGGCACAGAACTAGCCTTCATAAGGGTTAAGGAAACCTGAAGATGGATTTGTATGCTCAAAAGCTTGTCTGTTTTCTGTGTTTTTCCTCTCCTCTTCCTAATCCTCTAAAACTGGCACTTGATTCAATACCATGTTTCTGTCCAGTCAGTTCAGATCTCTCTGATGTTGTTAGATTGCCCCAGCTACAACCTTATTACCTCTCCATTGTAGCTAATAACAGCTCTAGATGAAAATTTAACTGGAGAATAAGTGTTACCTGTACATGGAATTGGTTGACAAAGCTTGTTCCTAAATAATCACTACTTTGTGTATGAATAGCTACACTGCACAATGAAATACTGAGATAGTTCCAGAATGCCTGTATGACACAGTGCGTGTTTACTAATTTTTTACAATATATATAAATACAGGTAATATTTTAGAAATAGGTAATGTTTCTGTCAAAGAACAAACCGAGCATCAAATATTAGATTTTAAAAGTCCACAAGTATGTAACAAATCATGAAACCAAGGGACTGTAGTCTTTTGAAAGCATTAAAATGTTTGTATGTAATCAGTTTATATTTGGTAGGAAACTTTTTTGATGCAGGATGGAAAGGGAAAGTACTATGGGATATATTGTGCTCAGGTGAAAAGGAAATCTGAATGGAATACAATCCTTATATATATAGATATCTATATATATCTATATGTATGTATGTATCTCTCTACCCTGACCAATTACCTAAGGACAAGTTTCCTACCACAGATGTAGTACTTGGCGCTTTGCAAAATTTCTCTGCTATGTGAAAGAGTGTTTCAACTACAGCTGCCAGCTAAATATTGTTGAGAGATATGTACCAGCATGTTCATCACACTCATTCAACTGTATCTGAACATCTACCTGGGAAGGAAAGACATTTTGCATTAGGATACTGGATTGTGAAGGCCCTTATCTTTACATGGATACAATTAGAGACAGGATACCAAAATGTTAGAGACCACTGATCTACTTCCATGGACCAATGTTACTGTCAGATTGTTTAAAAGTTGTAACAAAAACTAAGATTAGGTCATCATTCAGTTCTTACCTGTAATGAATGTAAATCACTGAACACTTTATTAGGGATTGTATTTATCTCATTGCTGTGCAGCATCAGTAACTCCAGTTTCTCGAGGCCAGAAAAATCTGTTTCAGTCAGTTTAAGCAAGCTGTTGTAACTGTAACAAACATTTCATCCCAGATTTGGATTTAGTCAGTCAGCTAATGTTCAAAAGTTTAAAAACAAATAACCAAGCAAAAGAAGGCCTTTTTGCAAATGCATAAAAGATAGACAGCACTTCTGATTTGCTAAGATGAAATTTTAAGTAATTCCTTCATGTTAGCACAAAATTTGGTAACTTGCCTAGAGCAGCTTCCTGAACACAGTATTGCAAGCGGATGAGGCAACTATCCGCAAAAAAACATGCGGACAAAAATGCCAATTTGGGACTCCAGTCTAGAAGGGTAAGGAGTTTCTGTAATGACAGAGGTCTGCCGTACACTGATATCTCTTTGAGTATAGGGCTTTCCCAACGCTGCAGTGTCACGAGAGGACCTGACACAAGAGAGACCCTCCTCTGCTGTTGGCTGAGAACCGGCTGAAGCGAGTGGTACTGGCATGTGGCATTCCCCTGCCAGGGCCCAGGATGCCATGGCTGTGCCTAGCCTGCGGGGCAAGTGGGTCTGCAGTGTCCTGCAGCCCTGTCCCCTCATCCTCCTGCCTGGAGACTTGGCTGGACTATGCTGTCTGCTTGTTTCAGCTGCACGTCTTGTGTTTTATTTCCACTGTACAGATCTTCAGCAGCGCACGCGCTACTTCCCAATGTAGACACAGCCTCAACGTCCACTGACTTCAGTGAGTACACACAAATCTTGATAGTGCAGGCTGGATTTAAACAGGGATCCAAAGTGAACCACTGAGATTCCCCTTAAGTGAGAGCTGTAGTGCTGCAGGATGTTTGACCTTAGGTCATGTCTGAATCTAGCTAGCGAGCATTGACAGTGGCGATGCTATGAAATCACAGAATTGGTGCATGCTGTGCAAGCCTCCCAGCACCGAGGAGCTCCTCTGTGAAGCCTCTGACACCAGAGCTACTGCCATGCTTACACGACTTAGCTAGCTAACTCAGGGCTTCTTCTAATGCTGCAGTCATACCTCCTGTACACAGTGGTAACAAGCTGGCCGTCGTTAACCAGGCAGACGGCCTTTCAATAATAGTAATTAATGTATTTCAAACATACATCCCACATCCCAGGTAACCCATAGGCCTCTCAAAGTACTGGTACTTAATGCTAGCTCTTCATATACTGCCCTTCTGGACAACGTTAAAATCAGAGGTGAGAGGAAGGAAAGGGCAGACAGGAGTCAGGAACCGAGACCAGAATGTGTTGGTCAGAGGCAGAAAGCTGAGGAAGGGGAAGACTTTTAATGTGAACTTCCTTTTATATTTTCTGTATACGTATATGGACAATTCAAAGGTTATGCATATCCAAAGATGGTCTATGGATCAGGCTCATAGTGCTCATTGGTCTCGTCATTTGATTGTATGACAGAGGATACTTTAACAGGCCAGCCAAGCCTGGATACAATCTATTCTCTGTTCCTTCTTGACCACTTAAAAAACAGACTCATGTTTGAGACTGAAGTATTCAGACAAGTAATATTTCCTAATATTTCCCATAAACTTGATAGATAAAAACATAGAATGTCACATAATGTTAATATCTATAGAATTTATTTGCCTAAGACGTCTCTGGCAGCTCTGAAGATTTTAACATACCTACTAAATTTCCAGCCTGCTGTTTAAGCTCTAAACCATCTTTTCCCAGTAAGAATCATGTCTATTTCAGACTCCTTTTGAATACTGTGTTACAGATACAAGATGTTCAGGTAATACAAAAGAATGAATTTAAGTTCAAAACGTTCTGAAATTCTTACATCTCGTGTGATGCATCCCCCAAGCTTCCAGTCAGTGTTAGAGGTCATTAGGTTTTGCTAGCTATCATTGCAACCAGTTCTGAATACTGCAAAGTATTAACCTCAAAGATTTATCTCCTGCATTGGTTAATTTTTAGCTCTAAATCTGGAAACTCTAATTATAGTTTTGCAAAGCGTTGACAGGTAGCTATGCAGAATATTTAAAAGCTTGATGTTAGACATACCCAAAATTGATGCGCTCCACATTGGGAGGGATGTGTGGTGGGATGGCGGTGAAGTACCGGAAAGTACAATGTACTTCGGTGGGGACATAGCAGGCGCAGAGCCTGGGACAGGCGCTGCTGCTGGGGAGAGCGGCCAGGCAGAAACTGAAGAGAAGCTCCAGTCCCCAGGGTTTCGCTCTGTGTATTACTTTCATCCTGCAGGAAAACAGTAAAATATAATCCTTCGCAAGAAATATGACTAAAGAGAATCCTGTAAGGAAAACAAAACACATGAGTGTTTGTAGCAACATCCATGCTGAGTTGCTTAGTTTTAACAGGTAAGCACAGTAAGAAAGTCTGTCATTTTAAAAAAGAAAACCCACAAAACAAAGCCAAAACTCTTGTTTTTCCCTCTGCTCTGTGTAATTATCTAAAAAACTTGTCATTCTAAAGAAGTAGCCTAACCCTCCTAAAGAAAGGTGCCTGACGAATTCTTGCTTGCAGGTCGAGTTTCGATTTCTCAAAGGGAGAAGAAGCAGCTTGAAACTCTAGTGCTTGGCTGTTCCAGCTACATGATTCCAGTTATTTGGAGTGTTTATAAATCTGCTTGTAATTTATCCTCCCAAAGGCACACGTCAGCTCCTCTCTTGCCAATAATTACTCCGGCCCCAATTAACCCATTTCAGAGCCCCAGCTGCAGCAGAAGTGGGGGTGCGGCGGTGGGGCGGGTGCAGCGTGCTCCCCACGGGCTCGGGGCAGCCAGGGTGCTCGCAGGTGCTCGCCCAGCGGCGGGTGATGCCCCCGACCCCATCTCCCTCCCTGCTCCGGCAGCTGGTACCTGCGCTGGCGGTGGCCCTGCCTGGACCGAGCTTCCTGTTGCACGGGCACCTCCTAAGTGAAGGGAGCTCTCCCGGACATCGCTTCTTGCTCGCCGATAGCATCCAGCGGCTCTGAAGACACGTGTCCCCTGGATGGCGCTGGAGCAACTCGTACGGCCCCGCTTCACCCCTCGGCCCCCTCTTCGGCATCATCAGCTACCGGCCGCTCCGCCCGTACCAGCGCTGCTTATCTTGACCAGCACCTGCATTCATCCCGCTCAGGCATTTTTTTTCTAAGCGGCCCCTCTTTTCAGTGTTACAGTTCCTCTGAGATCACTTGGTTGTTGAACGTGCAGCAATTACAGTCGTACAACTGCTGTTTTGTACAACCCCAAGCCACAAAATTATTTTCATCTTTGCAGGGCAAACAGCAGCTCAGTTGAGATACGCTGGCTGAGACATGCAAATGATTCAGTGCCCCCCCGGCGTATGACAGGTCTGCTCGCGCGATGCGCTTGTGCTGCCACATCTGTGTTTTAAATTAGCAAAGTATCAGTCTTGTTTCAGAAAACAGGTCCCTTAAGAACGTCACACATGCATTAAAAAAAATTCTCCATGTTTTTTGCAGAAATAATTCCTGTTTATGTATTTGAAAAATGACGCTTCAAAAATTACAGCTGATCATACATGAATTAGTTGCTAAACAACTTCCAGCAAAAAACGTACATAAGGAACAGCTGTGCTAACTGCCCCGCAACGTTGCTATGGCCTAACGCTCTAGGTACGTTTGGGCAGACTAATAATAAATTGCTGCTTTCTTATGAATAAGACATGAAACGTTCAGGCCTTTGTGTCAGTCATAAAATAAATCTGCCAAAACAATTTCTTATAATTTCTTGCAACTTGTTGCATGTCTTCTTTTTTTATATAAAAATAAAAACCTATACTGAAATATCTGTTACACTTCATTAGTAACATACATGAAAGGAAGAGAGGATCTTGAATGTTACTATGAGAGACATTACTTTGACAGTAACCACAAAGTATGTAAGCTGTTATTCTGTTGTTGTTTTTATAATTAAAAATTATTTTGCACCAATATTGACAGTTTCATGGTCAGTTACTATCTTCTGCCATTTAAAGGGGCTCCAGCTCAGCACAGTGGATGGGCAGGGCTATTCTTGTGCCTTGCTTCTTGCTGAGGTAAATTGCATTTAATTTGTAATGTATGTTTTTACTTGTTAGAATTTTTTCTTTATTTCAGTAAATGTGTTATTTCAGAGGATCTGAAAGATTTTCTTTTTTATGCCTAGTTAATAAAAACATTTCGAATTAAGCTTCAGTGCCTGTGATAATGCAAGAACATTTGAGCTAGAACTCATCTGTCATCAAACCTGGGGACTGAGGCATAGGCTGTAAGTCCTGAAGAAAGTTTCCAGGCTTTTCTGTAATATTCTGTGCCACAGTAAAACACAGTAACAGCAGCCCTGGTAGTGCAGCATGGTGGGGAACAGACTTTAGCTGTTGTTAATAGAGTGGTGTTTTGCTTAGTCTGCCACGTCTCCCATTTGTTTCCCTTGCAAGCATGTTCTTAGTCTTTTCCATGTGGAGTTTCACGTTCTACGTTTAGTTTCCACACCAAAGCTCTGTTCTGAGCAAGAATCTGATCAACTAGATGCCACTGCCCTTGCCAAAGAGAAGGTGGCAGGAACACAGGGCCCAGCTGCCAATTTGAAAGATAATAAGACAGCTTGCTTCAAGGTAGAGCACCAAATGAGAGGAAACCAGTGTAATCCACATATAAATGATGCTGGCGTGCTCTTTTGTTTATGTAATGAAGTTCACAAGGACTCAGACAATGTTTTGCTAATGACTTGCATGACCTTCAAGCAAGATTGTTATGTATGCCTAGAACTGAGTAGGAATTTTCAGCCAAAATGTTTTGAACTGAGATCTTGCAGTTTCTAAGAAATTGGTATTTTTCTTGGAAAAAAGGTTGATTTTGCTAAGTGTTTCAGATTTCTGTCAGGAAAGCCAAATCATCTGAAGTCAGCTTCAATCTACTGACATCTTTCTGGGCACCATGATGCCAAACATAAGATGTAGCATGCGTACCTAAGTATTTATCTTTTCTTGTCTAGTTCTGAGACAATTTATTGTGTGTTTTGGAAAACATTATTGTTTACAATAACAATTATGTGTTTAGAGTGTTTTGCTTAAAAAAAAAAAATGCAAAAAGATCCCTTGCAGAATCAAGATAACTAAATGCTTCAGACACTGCCACACAAATAGCAATAATAATTTTCTGACTATGATATACTGAAAATAAAGTTTTCAGTTATTCATATGGCTTGCCTCTTATTTGCATGACTAGAGTGTACTATGGTATTTTGATGATACTGTCACATTTTGGTAGGTAAAATGTGACTAACCTGTTCTATCATGATGGCAGTAAGAAGCACCTGAAACTTTAGATAGTCAAATATTTCTGGAAAGCACCACCGATCTGAACATCAGACAAAGCCTACATATTTGTGAATTTAAATAGGTGCATATGCCTGACCTGCGTTAAGGGTCTCAGCATTGCCTACTTATCACAGCAGGGTTTTCTACCTTTGCAGGTAGTCTTGATATGATGCCTTCTCAAGTAATTCCCAGAAAGCATGAATTATTTGCTAAATTACAGTGTTCTTCTGGAGGAAACACATAATAAAAGTCTTCTGGAGCATCTATGAGAGTCTCTTCTCGGCGGGGAGAGTTTATCTAAATCCAGAAAGAGGGATGACTCCTGCAAGAGTCATGACAATTCTTTCCATCTCTCTATCAACTGTTTGTATCAAAGGAAATGCAATTGTCTGCATAATAATTACAGACTGAATGAAGTAGGTTCTAAATTATATCAGAGTTGAGATTTTTTTTCAGCAAATTTAACACAGTTCTGGATTTTCAACAGGGATTTGATCTAACAGCGGAGATCCAAAAGGTCCCTATTATAGTCATGCCTTCTTCTACTTTTACAACAACAACATGCCCCTAAAAAGCACTCTTCTGTGCTGCTAAAAATACACTTACAGTGTCATCCCTGGTTTGCAAAGGAAAGTAAAATACACAGGGGTAGCCTGACTTAGCAAAGGCAGCAAGTTCGTGACAGATTCAGAAGTAGCCCCTGGACTGTTCACATCCCATCCACAAGCCATCCAGTGGACCAGGGATGTTTTACTACCTCTATTAGGCATATATAGCGGGATTAATTTACTGGAATTGCAAAGCAACCCATATTAAGACTGCATGGAAAATTGGAAACAATCTACAGCACAACAGTATTTTTCAGTATTGAACATACCTCAAAGAACCTGGGAAAAGGTAATTTTAAAACCCAAGTATCACAGATTTCAGTGGACACTAGGTGTGTATTTAAATCTGCTTAGGTTTACTATCAATGTTTCTTAAGATTAATAATGAAAGACATAATGGGAAGGAATATCAGATGAACAAAGCAGTGAATTTGTGTATATGCACTCATGAGGTGGCTTGCTTTATTTTATTTTATTTTTATTTTTGCTGGCGTGGTTATATTACTGCAGTGGCTGACCTAAATAATTCTTTAAGGAGTAAGTTTAAGACTAAACGTTATTATCTATTATTACAGGCTAATACTGTGTTTTCTTCGCAGATACCAAATACATACGGTTGGAGTAGCCAAAGATAAAGCCTCAAAAATATCACTTAAAGTTACTAAAAATTGTCCAGATAAATTCAAAAGTAAATAAATGAGAAAGTGCTCTACATCCATAATGTGACTGTTCATGATTAATTGTGATGACCATCACTGCGATCTGCACTTAAAAAGATTAACATTTTCTGAACTGTGGAAAGGTCAGGAAATCGGTAGCAGCATGTACTTTTATTTGTATGCCTGACAGAACTCTGCTTGAGGTATGTGTTGGATGAAGTTCGTTATCCTCTCAGTGGTGGTCTATATGAAATGCGTAGGTGGTCTTGGTTTTGTTCGGCATGGGCGCTTATGTTAGGCAATACTAACCTGATTGTACTAAACGGCACTTTCAGCCTCAGCAAAAATAATACAGCCTCGACTGAGCATTGGCATTAAATTATTTACTGACATTTTTAGGTGCTACCTTGAGAGCAAGGAAAAATTTGAAAGATCACAATGTCCCTGGTCCTACTGAATTCTGTTCCTCTGAGAGATAAAAAAGAGGACTGCATGGCTATCATTAGGCATATTTTCTAAATCCTAATTTCAGTCTGAAGGGGAAAGGCTGAACTGCTTTCAAGAGCTCTTTTGTTCTACTAGATTACTGAAGTCAAGGCTTCTAAAGTGACGTATTCTGATTTTTTTTTTTTTCTGGCAGTAAACCTGACAGAAAAGAAATTTTAAAAATTATTTGTACCATTCTCCATGATTTGTGGCAGAAAAAAAGACTGAAGTTGCTTCTGAAAATTCTCCAAAGACACATATGTGAAAATCTACATTAAAATCAAAAAACATATATATAAAATATACAAGGTACCCTGTCAAAACTTTAAGAAGCGGTTATTCATCTAGGGATACACTGTGTGTATTGTGATTAAAACCCAGCTTTTACTATGCTTCTGAGAAACACAGTATTAAATTACAAAAAATACAAAGTTTCCCCCCCAAGGTTACTGAAGAACATGTGGAATATTTTACATTATAATGCAGTTGTGATTTAATGGGGCTGCCTTACAGAAAATACAATGGTTATACCAATCCATGTTGATCTCTCTGTTTTGCCAGCAAATTCTGGCACATGTCTGATATTAAAATACATTGCTTTGGATGGAATTTATTACTGGGGAGAATCAGGGGAGCTTTTTGTTAAGTGAGACTATACTTTGGCAAG